TTTCAAATGACTGATTTGATCTGATATTCTGTGTGGATTCAAACATACATGCTATAGGCTATTGAATAAATGTGTGAATATCCATCATTTTAAAGTCGAAAGCTGCGGGAATGTGTAAAACTATATGCGATGTAGCCTATGCGCAATCCCGCACCAAAACTCAGGACCTAATTAAACAATTCTATTATACAGAGTTTTGTGAAATAGTTTTCCATGACTTTTTCAAAACTTTCTGGGTTTATTTATTTTTCCAAAACTTTTCCAGGCCTGGAAATTGCCGTTTTAAAATTCCATGACTTTTCCAGGTTTTTCATGACCGTAAGAACCCTGCATCAGAGTGCACAGAAGTATTCTTAAAATGCGTTCTAAATTCTGAATAATTTGTAATAATTATTCTCGGTATTTTAAAGTGCCCACGACAACAATATTGTGTATATTCATTACCGTGATATATCGCATCACCGAATACCGGCACATGTCTAATAAAGATATAAGAACCGTCCATTTCCTTGGCAGGAAAATGTGGACAGCTGACAGAAATTCTTGAACATTTCCTGGTGAGATTATTTTTTAAAAGTCTCTGGATAAAACCTTTGTCTAGTGATAGCAAATGCAGTGCAGTCCAGTAAAATATGTTTGATAATGGAGGCATGCAGAAACTACATGAATGTGGTTCACAACTTAATATTAAAGCATAAAACATGCGAATGATGGAGTATTTTTGAGGCACTTTGTTTTCTAATGAGCTTCCTCATTTAAATACATTCTTCATATTTCTGAAATTCAAGCATGAACACAACAGCAGTCACCCCACAAACACATTTCCATTTACTGCCTTCAGTTACAGTAAATGTAATGCCTTTGTCTCGATTTCTGAACTGATGGATTATCATCTCAGAGAAGCATACCTTTTAAAAGCCTGAGATCCTCCAGAAGTTGTGTTTCAAAAAACACTTCCAAGATATTGTCAAGACCTATTCAGAGAAGAAAAGAGATGCGTTCAAGTAGTCTGACAGACTGAAACACATGTAATAAAACAAGTTTAATGATGATCAAGAATAAAAACAGACCAATAAGAACAGATGCACAGGAATAAAGTAATGCAATTATTTGAAGTGAGAGAGAAAGGAGGAGTGTAAACTTCAGAGCTCTTTAAGACAAAGCATCAAAAATTAAATGCCATTAAATTCTGATAATGCATAATCAGTCCATAAGAACAGACAGATAAGGATAAATGAATGCGATTCCTTGGACCGAGTGGAAAGTTGAGTGCAAAATTCAGATTTCTTTAAAGCTTGAAATTAAAATTCACGCCATTTTCTAAATGCATGTTACTGATCTTATTGGGAACGATTCAGTCGTGCATGTTTAATTTTTTTCTGAGCTCGTAAACTCATTAGTCATAGAAAAATAAACTGTAGAGGGGTATTTTGCTAAATATATGCACCATATAACATATTCATTATACATTTTACTGTTCTTCAATGTTTAATTTATGTTTGAATAAATACATCAAGTTTTTATGACAGCCACCATTATGTTTAGGCCTATATTAAAAAAACAAACAAAAAAAAAA